CCCCCCCCCAGCCCCTTCCCTTCCAAAAATAATAAGAAATGCTTTACATGCACTTTGCCACATACGCGTGGACCTTACTCAATATCTTCCCAAGGTAATAAACGAATTTTTAATAGTTTTCAGTTTTAACACGAGTATAACATTAAATCTACAAGTACCGGTTAGGCCAAAAAGTTAAAGACTCGCAAAGACCATAGTTTGGCTACTGTAAATCGCTGCGGTGTACGCAGGCCACAGACCGTGATTTAGCTAGGTACACCGCCGCGGTGTACGCAGGCCAAAGTCAATAGTTTCGCTAGGTACACCGCCGCGGTGTACGTAGTGCCGGCCTATTATTAAAGGGTTTTTATTATATAGCGCTCACTAGGCTTCACATAAAATAGGGACCTCGGTATCAACCGGAATACCCGAAAAACGGGTATCATATTTTCGTTGTCATTATGGCGACCTCTACTTTTTAATTTTCTGAGGGTAGCGTTTAATAATCGATATTTAGCATAATAATATAATTTTACTTCCGCCAATTACTTAAAGCCGACATCTTTCCTGTTATATTAAGAGTTCGTTTGATTTTTTGGGTCAAGATTAAAGCTTTGAAAATTGAAGTTAAAAATTGGTCAACTTCACTCAAGAATAACTTAATTTAAAAAATGCGCTCTTAAATAAAAATACTCCGCTCTTTTAGTTTATATGTTCATTTAAAACATATCCAAAATTCATGAGTGTAGACCATGGGTGGGCTTCAAAAACGAATTTCCAAGATGTCATTTTTTTAGGCTATGTAATTTGTCATCATGGCCACCGTGCTTGTCTGCTTATTTCCAATTATCGATAGCAGCCGTGGGGTAATTAATAATTCATTAAGTTGGTTATCCAGAGTGTAAATGGGAAATATAACTAATAATAAATCATTTTATATAAATAAAAAATGTTTTATAACATAAATAATTATTATTGGCTTATTGAATATCAGTGATTTTAATTTTTGGGTTGGTTGCCATGGACCTGGCTGACACTGACATGGGAATGATAAGCTCTTGTCTTTGACTTAGATAGTGATAGGCTTAGTTTAAGTATTATAATAGTATTTATACTATTATAAATGATTTAAGGAGTGGGATAAATAGCTTTTATTACAACTAATATATTTATCATTTATATTAGTTTATATATTTATAGATAAATATTTATTTGTATATATATAATATATATAATGACCATTAGGCTAGAGGCCTTGTATACATATAATATAGTATAATACAAAGTATACTATATCAGGGTTAAGGCCTAGACCCAACCCAACTAATTTGTAGGGCCTATTATAATAAATTATATTTAATGATATTTTAGGATATGTAATAAAATTTTAATGAATATTGTGATTCTTACTTAAGGCATAAACTAAGTAAAACATTTTGAAATATTCACTTACCTTTGGTATTGAAATATCCTATATTTAATCACATATCGCAATATTCCACAAGAGAATTATTATATAATCCTCGTTTTCTCAAAGAAAAAACACACTTTCTGGCACTACAATCCAAGAATTACTCAAGATATAATAACCTGTACTTACCTCTAGTAAATGACTAGAACTTATTTTATTAACAGCTAAAGTCAAAGTTAATTCTAATAATACATGTGGATTTGTAAAACAAGATTAAAAACTTAAAATAAATGACATGCTGATTGTTTTGTCATACTCATAGGAATAATATAATATATAGTATACATATGTAGAAAATGGTAAAGTAAAAAGTGTAATTGTCAATTTTAAATAAATAAAACAAATAATCCCTTTATTATTTGTTTATGCTTATAAATGCTAAACAATTCCACAGAAAATCTGCAATTAATATCTAAAGAATATTATTATTATTATGATTGTTGGGAAATTAAAACAAAATTTTAATTAATTAATTACAAATAAGTGATGAGTCAGCATTTTTATACATTTTTTAATAGGCAAATAATAAAGTTTTTTTAAAAAAAAATATTTGCGGCACATTAACAAAAACTAATGTATATTTTGTGGCTTTATTTAGAAGTACTCTTATTTAACTATGTTCCCTGTAAATATTATATTTTTGTCTCATTTTATAATAAAGTTATAGGCGTTAAAAAAAAAGCAAAATGTGGGTCACAAATGTGGAGGAAAATCCCATAGTAAAAAAAGTGGTTTTGAGGTCCCTACTAAAAAATTCATAACTTTTGAACCACTTGCGCTAGAAAGTTGATCTTGGTGTTTTTGTAATCTATTCTCCAGGCTCTATACAGCTGTAGTATTTTTATATTTTAAAAAATGTTTTGAAATTTTCATCAAAGTGGCTACATAAAAATTAGCAGTTACATTTATAAACAACAATTTGTAAAAGCTTGACCTCACCCACCCAAGTACTATTTACCCCTGTCTATCCATGGACAGCACCCTGCAGCATAGAGCTTTTTATCAGGTAGAGGGGGGTGAGAATGAGTCGGTAGAGTAGACATTGAAGAGATGGGTCTTGAGGGTAGTTTTGAAGGTTGGGATGGTCGTTACATTGTAGATGTATAATGGGAAAGAATTCCATTGTTTTGAGGCACAGAAAGAGAAAGATCGTTCACTATATGTTTTTGTGCTTGTTCTGGGAATAGAAAGAATACGCGTGTCTGCTGAGGAACGAAACTTGCGAAGGGGTAAATAGATAGAAGGAAGGACAGGAACCAGAGAAAAAGTTGTGACAGAACAGACAGCTTATAATCAGTGTG